CAACCTCTCTCAACCAATCATCTGCTGCGACAAAATGCTAAAATAGTTCTTTCTCTTCACAGTCATTCTGTCATTTCAAGGCAACTGCTGCAACCCACCACCGCCCCAGTCACCTCCATTCCAGCTCAGCAGAGTCCAGATTCAGGCTCATTATAGCCTCCATTCCTCTTCACCACCACCAGTGTCTAGACTCCATAGGGGGTATCCTATCCTGCTGTCGGCCTCATTACCCTTCCGAGTACATGAAGTCGTCACGATGGAGTCTAATCCTCCAAAGACTTTGCACATTCAAATCTAAATTGTCGCACATTTATTGTTAAATAAATAATTGTTCATTCTCAATTAAGTCTCTCCTGATTGAAATATCAGTCTCAGCTTTTTTTTCCTACCTAATATCAATATCACTACCCAACACTGGCTGTTACACTGATGTCACTGCATTCACTTTATCTTATCATTTCTGTGTCCAGAGGCTGTCCGTAATGTGTGAAAAAAAATGAATGTCCTGTTAGTGCTGTCATTTTATATGATGCAACCCGAATACTGGATGTTGTCCTGTTTGTTGGGGTAATGTTGAATGTAAGTTGTAAGATATTGAGACACAGTCCCACGGTGATACTGATAAACTCAACTAAATAATTCATGGCAGGATTAGGAGAAGGCCGTTATTTTGTTTCCTCGAGGAACAGGAACACCTCTAATAGCATTCATCAACAATGTCCTCCTGTCTGGGTTTTCTCAGATTAAATTGAGTAGAAGTAAAAACCTGAGCTTGTTGATTTGTAAACGTGACTGAACAAGGACTATCTTTCAATGATAAAATCAAGCTGGTTAAAACACGTTGATGGAAACTGAGACCACGAACTTCCCCAGCAGTATTAGGACGCCTTTCTCAACCGCCAGAAGAGCGGAAACTATAAATTCAGAGATAAACATGTATCTGTTACCACTCTGTTGCATCATCACCTCTTCTTTCAACTACAGCCTGTTAGCGTTTGTTAACCCAGGAGACCTGTTGCTGTCACTTTGAACGTGAAATGTTTTAACATTCTTGTGTGATTTAGGATATCAGCTCGTCAACACTTTTCTTCAATTTCAAAACATTGGACAGAGCTTTCTTTCCCCGCCCCCTCCCTCCTAGAGCCAATGTGCAAACAGGTTGCTATGTCGTGGACACTGAAGCTTCAGTTTTTAACCAGCTCTGCATCGGTCTAGAGACTTTTCTGCTCTCTAACCTCTCTCCTTTTTTCAGAAGCAACCGCCTACCTTCTCTGCTCAAAATACAATGATTCTGCGCCACAATGGAAAACTAGAAGGAGGACATACCGACTGCTACATTTACAGATAAACCAGCACTTAAACAGATCATGTTTCCTTAATGTCTGATGATATAGAAAGACCATTTCAAGATTTAATTCAGAAGATGTCTTACATATTGGACCTTTAAACTGTCCTCCTTAACCTCGTCTTTGATTCAGGGCCATTTAAACCCTGTCCTCTGGAACTGGCCTCACAGGCTTTCTTTAATCTGATTGGAAAACAAGAGCATGCAATGAATGAATCAAAACTTTATTACAGACTCAGGGTCCAAATAATAAAATCCAAAAGACATAAAATACAATACAAGATACATGAAATGCAAAGCACAGTATAAAAACCTGCAACTTAAATGCAATGCATGGTATAAAATCACTAAAAAGATAAAAACAGCGCCCCAGAGGATACAACTGTACCAATGTTTCCATATCTTGGATTGATTCAATGTGCATCTCTTTTGATAAACCATTTACTTTTTCAATAAAAAATAAAAATCTTGATTAGCAGAGCTTCAATACAAACAAAAGTGAAAACCATCACCTCAAACTTATCCATAATTCATGATCAATATCTCTCCAGATTTGAACATCAGAGGCTTCATGGAGAAAATATTATGTGAAATTACTGAGAATTAATCATGTATTGTGCCAAACACCCTGCAGAATATTGAAATATCACATTCATATCTCAAAGTCGATATTTAAAGCAATGCAGGAAGAGCAGAGCGAGAGAGGGAGACAGAGAGAGAGTCTTCAAATAATCAGGTATGATGTTTGGCAATGACATCATAGTCTGGAGATCTGTTAGTGTGATCCAATGCCATGTAAGTGCTGTCCTCTTCTTTTGGCTTCATGCTCTCTCTTTGTTTCCTTTAGTAAAAGAAGAAATGAGGATTAAAAAGGGTTTTACAAAGAACTCATTTGTCATATCTTCATCAGCACAGTTTATTCTAAAAAGTCCTCCGGTGTAAAACATACCAAAGAAACACCATGCAGAGTGTGAGGACGATGTTCACAGTGAGAGACACTCCAGTAACAGCCCAGAAGAGAACTCCACCGTAGGGTCCACAGTTATCCTCAAGACCTGTCATAAGAAATAACATGATAATATCATAACCCTGTTTAGTGTTGTGTTTATGTAATCAGCAACAAATAACTGGCATGTAATAAATAATTAAGACAGGACAATGTATTACAACCCCATCTCCTTTTGTTCTCACTGACCCCATATTTTTGCTTTAATATAATTGAAGTATTTAACTGGATGGCACTGATCTTCATTGAGAGGCAAAATTAATTTTAGTCAGTCTAAAGGCTGATTACAGTGTGTATCTAATAACATGTGCTTATTATTTGCTCATTAGATTTTATTTCAAAATTATTTCATTGTTAATTTAAACTAAAGTTGAGGAAAATTAAATTGACTATTGTGTCATTAATTTTAAGTTAAGTGTATTTATCTGTACATAAATTCTGATAGTTCTTCACTGATTAAAAAACTTGGGGAGGGGGGGGACACTTTTTCAACTTGATGGTTTTTACCACTAAAGTCTACTTCATTGTCAGTTTGACAGTGAAGGAAGTACCAAAGTTGTATCATATTTCCAAATCAAGACCGCAAAGCGAGCAAGAGAGACGAGTGTAGGCTGAGCAACCAAAAGACTAAAAGAAGAGGAGAGGTTTCAGCAGGAACAACGCTGAGCCAGAAGAAATTCAATATTCATTTCTGATTGTTTCATGGTGGTTATGTTCAAAAGCACAATTTAAACACACTAAACCCACTGGCACATGAAGGAGTTGATTATGAAAGGGAAACTGAATGATTGATTGGCCCAAATTGGCACACATGGACATTTGGATGAAAAAGACAAATTAGTAATGTTTTATATACTAATTCAGAAAGTGCCAAAGATGGAAATCAATCTTGAAAACTGAAACATTAACAACATTTTATAATCAGTAAATCACTGCTCTGGAGGAATTATAGACCTTTAAAGGTTTAAAAACACACAGTTTAACTTGTATACATACGCTGAACATATAAGTCTTTGTTGTCAGATCGTCCACTCCCCAGTTCATTTTCAGCCTTGCAGAAAAAAGGACCGCTGACATCTGAAGCTTTAACAGTTAAAACACGTCCAGTCCCCATGAAAGTCTCCTGGCCTCCATCAGCTCTGTACCAGGTGTAGTCCTTTACAGCTGGGTTGGTACTGCTACTACAGGTCAGAGTCACAATGTTGTCTTGTCGTATTGGACCGGACAGACTGACCGACACTGTGGGTTTTTTGGGTGAATCTGGGAGGAAAAAAATAAACAGACTTGTTCTTTTGATAATTGAATTGTAAACTGTCACTTTCTTGCTGATTTGGAAGAAAAATCATGAAGAAAATTACTGACTCTGCTTCAGCAACATTTGAAGCCTTTGCTTTTCAGCATGTTTGCACTTACAAGAAAGGTTGCCATTAGTTTCATGTTTTCTGTACATTAAAGGGAATTATGTTAATCCTAAAATGCATCTTAATCAGAATTAGATATATGGCATGCAGATGTAGATGTTCCCTTTTGTCTTTTCTTCTCAGTCTCTGCTTTAGCTTGATTTCAAAGCAGCTTGAAGTTTATGCAATTAACAAGAATTGTGCCTGCAAAGGATATTTTGGATGAGGAAACACTTCAGAGAAATGAAGCAGAGCAAGTTAAAGGCTTGCTGTTGAAGCTTTGTGAGCAAGAAAATACAGAAGCATCTCACACTGAGGTGTTTGATTTATTAAATTGATGTCATGTCAACACTGATTAGAAAATCTAAAGAATTGGGTAAAGATTTACTTTCAAGGACTTATTGTTTCACACCTAATTTAATTTAGTCAAGATTTTAAGGAGATGAGAGAGCATTTAAAAGTTTAAGTTTGAATTCCTTAATCACAAGACAAACATACATGTAATGTCAGCTGTTAAACTGGTGTTCACAGATGACTCAGTGCTGCCATCTTGTTTTCTGTAGACAGCAGTACAGGAGATTTCCTGTCCGTGATGGAGGTGTGATGCGTTGAAGTTCAGCACAGAGATCTTGACTTTAGTTTTGTCCTGATTCTCCTGCAGGGTCTCCTGACCTTCACCCAGGCCGGGGCTCCATGTCAGATTTGGAGGAAGAGACAGACAGGGAGCTGGAGCAGAGCAGTTCAAACTCACTGAGGTTCCCTCTTTCACCTTCAGTGTGGGCGGAGTCAGAGTCGGTCTGGGTGGATCAACTGTTCAGAAGATACATAAACATGTATAAGCAGTCATTTCTCTCTACTATCAAAGGTTTGATTTATCTTTATTTTAAAGTAATCAAATAAGGTCAGAGAAGTACTACATGAATGAACTGTTAATTAGTTTAATTTGAAACCTACCTTGACTGAAATTTTCACGCCATCAAAAAAGTATTTCAGATATTGTCACATTCCAATCTAAAATTATGCACTTTGTTGTTTTGAGGTTGCATGTCATTCAGGGTTGTGGTGCAGTCTTTTTTTGTTAGGTCACCGATCAATTGTCCTTTCTGTTGTGGATTACTGCTATCAAACACACAGGTCCAAGTACTTTCTCTCCATAATGCTTTACATGTTTTATCTAAGTTTGACATTAATTGATCCTCTACGTCAAAGGAGCAGGGGATTGTCACACAGGATCCCTTCAGAACCTCTATAGTCTTTGGTATAATGCTCTCAAACTGTCCACACAGGGCACCTGAAACACATGAAAGAACATTTAAATAAGAACATGTGTTAATCATTTGTGAATTTTTGGACTAGCTATGTGTAACGCTAAGTTTTTGAGGTATTATTTCAAATTACTTTTTGTTTTTTACAGTGGTGGGCTTAATGTGAGTGAATATCTCACCTGGGAGCAGACAGCCAACAAGAAGGAGAGTGAGAGCTACAGCCATCTTTGTGTTTCAGAATAGGCAGAAAGTCTGGAGAGTACACATGGGTACACATCAGTTTCATACTAAGTATATTTGAGTTATTTCATACTTCTGAAGTTGCTTATTGCAGCATCATGTTGTAGATGATAAATGATTAGAAAAAAACAGGAAGCTTTGTGGTCTGTGAAGGCAAAAGTGACACATAATGCTACTTTTCATTAATGTATTTTCAGTCTATAGTTAAAATGAACGCTATAATCTGTTTATAGGCAGCTCCTTTAATCACCAGCAATATACAAAAACACAACGACAGCTTTATTACGTCCAAGATCAAAGAGAAAATGCTTCTCCTTTTACAGTGTCTGTTTTTCCTTAACCTATGGTATTAGTTTATTGATCTAAATCCAAGTTGAGAAAAAGTACACATTTTTAGAATTATGTATCAAGTGCTGATTTTCATATTTTTCATATCAAAATCATGTAAACTTACATTCTTGTCAGGTCCTCTGGAGCAGAGAGGTGAAGATGTTCAGAGGAGGGACGTTTCCTTCAAAGTGTGTGCTGCTTTTTCAAACAGCCTTCTTCAGTAAATTACACGAGGAAGTCACAGTAGTGAACATGCGTGTTACAATCATTTTACAGTCATTTCTATCATGGCTCATAACAGTGCCACAACTCTTCTCAATTACATGTATTCTTCTGTTCTCTTCTATTTTTCATCTTTGGAACTAAATTAACATGTTTGTAATACTCACCTATTAGTCTCCACCGCCTGTTTTATGAGATTTAAAGAAATAACACATTGTTCAGGTGCAGGTTACTGTATTTGTACACCTAGCGAGCTATGAGAGAAATGACAAAACAGATGTAAGAAGATAAAACACATTCGAGAAGGATCAATCTATTTATAACTACGGAAACATTATTTTAAAATGAATAAGATTATAACATGATAAAAGTCGCTTGGATAAAAGTGTCTGCTATGTGAATTGTAGAA